TCACCTATTACCTCGAGACATAAGTTGACAAGTCGCATATGCCTGTAATTTCTTCCAGCACTCTTAGGGCGCGTTCCCATTTGGTCGTGACGACAGATTGTCGTGCAGTTTAAACTGTTGTGGCTTGTATATTTAAATGAAGTTGTTCACATAATGTACAACACGATTACCTGTCGTTCAAGACTTTTTTGACGTTACGACGACGGTAGATTGTCGTAACAATGTGAAGAACCAGAACGACAGTCGTCAGACGATAAATAAAACGTCACGATAAAAATGTGACGACAGATAATCGCAACTCAAACGACAATTAAGGCGGCTGCCGTGAACCAACAACGTCGTCACGATCTAGTGGGAACAGGATCGACAGTCGTTCAACGATAAAATTAACGTCAACGACAGGTCGTTGTAATATGGGTACAGGCTAAACACGACAGTCGTCCAACGATAAATAAAACGTTACGACATAATTAGAACGCGCCCTCATCCTTCAAAATCGAACGTAATAATCACATTACAGCTTGGCGGCAGAAATAGATAAGATGGCAGTACTTCCCCGGATGAACTCTTTCACAAGGAGCTCTACCGCTACTTCTCTGTGCTATGATTACCAGAGCAACGGAATTCACCCCAGGTCACAGCACGGAACACCCAGATCACCAGTGACCTCATCCAACGCCCACCACACGTTATGGTAATAAAATCGGCTCAAACACACTAGGTTCAACGTTGCGGAACACGACATAAAAATTCCCTTTTTTTATTAAGAATAATTAACAAAAACTTAAGATTTCTGTCGCTATTAGCGCATTTAGCATTGCCTAACATTCTAGTCCATCTAACAGGTACTAATACTAACTAACAATGTTTATTAAGATTTTAAAAAAAATACAAATTATTTACTTACTTGCTACACTTACATCGTCAGAAACAGATACCATAGTGACACACTTATACATGTTTTAATTATTGTTACAACTGTTACGTTACGTAATTGTATTTTATTGTTACAACTGTCGCGTTAAGCAATTGTATTTATTGTTACAATTGTCACTTCACGCAATCTAAATAATATGCGTAAAGCGATGTCGAATTAATGGGAACAGTGAGTGTGCAATGGCACCGCTCTTCGCACAGTAAGAATTACAATACATTAGCGAAATATAACTATAAATACAACCAACCTTAGGAAATAAGTATGTATGATAGACCATGGCTAAACGTATACAATACAATTTTGTTTTATTACTATCCATCGAGTATATAACCAGAAATAGAGACGAAATAAGGGTCATCCATCCCTGGCAACTCATCAGGCAAATGTGCCTTACATCACTTTTAAATATCAAATCTCGTTTGCTCTGAAATCACAAATTAGAAAGCTGAAATAGTACAGCGCCAACAACTGACCTGTGTGTACGTCTCCGTGTATTCCAAAAATATTCTGTATTTATTGTAATAAAGATAATATCTCTAACAATAGGGGACTGTTCCATTCGGTGGTACGGGAAAAACAGCAAAACATCTGATTACAAAACAAACGGAATCACATTTAATCGGTCATTATAGCAAAGCTCAAGTTAAAGTGGTCGATGTGAAGTGAAAGAATTGACGACAACCCGTCAATTGTTTCGAATTCGGGCTGGCCAATCGGAGCGCAGTTGTGACCGTGATGATTTCGCAGAATAATTTTCAGACAAATTAAATGACATTTCGTCTCTATTTCTGGTTATATATTCGAAGACCATGGCTATACGTACACAGTACAATTTTGTTTTATTATTATCTCTTGGCAATGTTTGTGTTTCGGATGTCACTGGATTTCTATCAGTTGCCCGTTTATGATTAAAATTCGATGTCTAAAATTGAACCTTATTTATACATAGGATAGGGATCTATTTTGCTTTATGTTTGTGTTTATGGCCGTCTATGCAAATTTAAACTATGTGTGAAAAGATTTTAAGGTTCTTCCGTAGACATATTATGTAGATTCTTTTTTGGTTACCTCTATACTTAATACTTAGAATAGAAAATACTTTAGAAAACATCTATAAGCAAAAAACTACAATATTAATTAATTATAATATATTTACAAATTACTAAACTTGTATAACATTTATATAAAGTGCACTGAATAATATTAACTATGTGCGAGACACCTTATCTTCAAAACACGAAGACAAATTTATAAATAAAAAAAAATATTTTTTGTCAAACATGCTTGGACACAGCATTACTTCCAAAAAACAAACACGGAAAGTTTGTTATTTATGGAGTGTGCGACTTATTTCCGGCCAAGGCCTGCAAAGTATGAAAATCCACAACTGTCCACTTCTCATAACTTTTAAATCTACTCACTAATAATGATCTATGTAATGAGGCAAAAGAAAAATTAATACAGCCAACTGCCTAGTGTTCGTATTTGCGAGAATTAAAATACCTACTTGTACCGCTCACTTAAAAAAAAAAGAAAATGGCGGTAACAGTTAAACTAAAGTGTTTCGGTATTCTTTTGTCTTTTCGTCTTTTTTGTATTTTGGTCGCGAAAATGAGTGCTGGTGAGAAGAGCGATAACGAAAATATAGTAATAGATGCACATTCAAGCACATTAACAGAAGGTCAGCAAACTACTATTAATATGCCTGGAAAAACAATAACATTTTGTTTTAGCAATTGTCCGAACACGTCAAATATTACTTCTAATAATAATTAATTATAAATTATTTTTTCTATTATACATCTTCCTCTTTTTAATCTTTTATTATTTCCTCACATAGTTTGAGAAAAATACTATATATGCCTCGGCGCGGAAGGGGATTGCTTGACTCGTATTAATACAAGGCCTGCCTGGCGTTCGTACTTGTAACTCATACTCGTCCAGTAATCCCTTACCGACCTCTGCAATAATGTACTATTTCTCAAACACGCTTGGAAATGTTTGCATTACTTTCAAATAAACGAACTCGGAAAGTTTGTCATTTACAGGCCGTGTAACTTCTTCCCCGCCTGTAAAGTATGTATGAAAATCCATTACTGTGCATTTCAATACTTTTAAATATACCTACTAGATGAACTATGTAAACAGGCAAAAGGAAAGCTCATATAGCCAACTGCTCGTAATTACATCATAATTTAATCGTAATTCTTCTTCGAGTACATAAACTCGATGAGTAAAGTGCGTTTCTATGTTCGTCACGAAAATAAGTTCTAACGAGAAGAGCGATAACGAAAATGCCTGCAAACACTATGTCAAATATTACTTTCAATTTTAATTAACTGTTTTTTTTTTTTACTTTTTGTACATACATCTTCTCTTTATTCTTCTATTATTACCTCACGTCGTTTGAGAAAATCACTGTACATGCCTCGGCGGGAACGGGGATTACTTGACTCGTATTAATACATTAACTCATACCCGTCCATCCCGGCCTTTGCAATAATGTCTTACACTTTTACCATCTCGAAGCCGTCGCCGATGAATTTGACCGCCGTAAAATCGGCATTTTATTTCATTGAAGCATCTGCTTCTTTGTTATTTTTTTATTATATTTCAATACAATATTTTAGTATAATCGATTTTACGATCGGCGTACATATCCAGACCCTGCCTTAGGTGCTAGAGCGGTTGGCTGTTTCAATAGCCAATAGCATGTTTCTATTTCAACCAGGGTTGTTGCTGATGGAGGTTTTTTTACACACTTGCGGATGCACAGTCAATATCAGTGAATACTGAATCTATTTACAAGAAAAAACGGTCTATTTTCTTAAGTATAATATTATTTAAATGACTTTGTGACATTTATTAACAAAATAATTAATCTGCATGAAAACTATTGATCTGCCTAGCTTAATCATTATTTAATCTTATTAACCGACTTTTAAAAAAGAAGGTCCTCAAGTCGAATGTTCTTTTTTTGTTTGTACGTTACGCGATAACTCCATATTTGTGAACCGATTTTAAGGATTCTTTTTTTTGTTAGAAAGAGGGTACCTCAGTAGAGGTTCCATTTAAATTCCACCTCTATGGGTGGCAAACTAGGGTATCAATGACTCTGTATGTTGAGATTATCAAAGTTATATTTTAAAAACAACAGCTGAGTTCCTTTTTCAGCTTGTAAATCTGTTTTTGCAAGATTTGTAAATTACTCCAGCGTGCCTTTTAGGTCAAGCCACGACTCATCGATGCAAGCGGATGCTGATTAATTTCTGCAGATTATATACGGAAGCTGATATTCGCAGAATTTTTCAAAATTTTTTGGGTATCCTCTTGCTATTGTATTGCATATTGCTATGCCCTTACAGGGTATCATATATTAAGGACTCATATGTTATACGAGTATAAGACTGTTGTAAACTTTTATATGAAGCAATAAATTGAAATTGAAATTGAAATTGAAATCCTGATTGCAACCAATCGGCGTTAAGATGTCAAAATAACGAAACGCTATTAGTTAAGACGCTCAGCTGTTCTATTTTCAAAGTACATTGCCCTTTGGCAGCGGTAAGACAGAAGCAATATTTTTTTTTATTTTTTTTATATCCACAATACATGAAGTAAATTTATAACATTGCAAATTTATTAAAACAATAAACAACGTAGCTATATAGTATAAAAGAAATAGTGCAGCTCCCACCTATTCAACGAGTCTACGCCTACACGTCATTAGAGCGTAGGATTGTTACATTATTATTTTTAACCGACTTCATAAAAAAGAAGGTTCTCAATTCGACTGCTTTTTGCGTTTATAAACCGATTTTGATTGAGAAAAACTTGGCAAATGATGTAATTCCACGCACTTTTGAGGTAGGTTTTTTAGTACTCTGTACTGAGGTTACAAAACATAATTTGAAAAAATTAAAGTATTTATCATAATATTCTCGTGCTATATTGAAATAACCTTTGTCAAAAGCAGTACTTACGTACTGATTTTTTTTAAACTAGCACGAAAAAGTCTTGATGGTAAGCGACACGCCTGTCTATAACAGTTTCAGTATCACTCGAGAATATAAATCGCAAAGATCTGTGAGACAAATAAGTTGACAAGTCCCATGTGCCTGTAATTTCACCAACCCATTACCCTTCAAAACCGGTACGCAGTAATTCTCACATTACTGCTTGATGGCAGCAATACGTAAAGTGGCTGTACCATAGATTACTCAATAGTTACTACGTAACAGATACATCACTCCTATATAAAATCGAATATACCTACGCTATAATAGTTTACTAAATCTGACTAATGACACCAGGCGGTCACTATGAGGAAAAAGGAGCCTAAGCAAGCGATTAGAGAGGTGAAAATAAAGTTGCCCGCCGTGTGCAGTCGTGCGGAACCGAATGCTGGAGTTGTACAAGGATTGTAATGTAAATGAAAGACTTGTTTCAGCGCTTGCACTGTCGTCGGTACACTAGTTAGGCATGTATCGCGTAACCTCGAGCGAGTGATGGAGCATCATACGAATATTTACTCTACGTGGAAGTTCAAAATTGTTACTTTTAATATATTTACATAGGACATACATAAAGGAGAAGTAGACCAACGTTAGGAGGAATTTGATATTAAAGGGATGGAATATCTTAGTGGGAGTTGCACCACCTTGTCTTATACTATGTAGGACATGCAAACCGGTTACCCGGTTAACCGAAGAATCCGAGTAAGTGTGTTTGTTACTAAATATGATTTATTTTAGAATCTTAGTGCCGCTGATTTGCTTTTTAATTTTAAAACGAGAAGTTGATTGATCTCATTCAAGTTGTGATTGCCATAAAATGTAATAACAATAATGTACAAAACACTAATTTGATGATTTTTTTAGTTTTCTGACACTTAAAGAATTATTTGTTTGATAATAGAAAAACATCCGAAAAAACCGGTTTTTAAAATTCCTCGGTTGTTGCATGCCTAATACCATGGTAGCAATATCGGTTCGCTCAATACGCCTGTCAAGTGATTAATAATTACAAATACTGACACCTAAATTAGGGCCTTAATTTATTTAATCTAACGACATAATTCACATGCGGTAATTAACAATTCGTCGTTTAGAAAAATCGCATCATTCAAATTCGCTACGAGTGGCAATTGCAAGTTGCAGTGCAGTCGCTTGGGAAAAGTGGCTCGTGTGACTACGCACTAACCTTCACATAATATTATTTGAACTTTCTCGAAAAAATATCGCTACGTCGCGTCTGTCATAACTGTTCTAATTCCTGTTAGGTCGAGTCGTAAACTGATATTAAATTTATTTCCAACTTATGTGAACGATGGAAAGTAAAATTGCATTAAAAAATATCGAGCTCGACAAAACGAGAACAGAAACGTGTTAAAAACTATAGCCCCGATGTAGTGGGAAAAAAATCTACGTTGCCAGTTATTATGTTTAGTCTGTTTGACTGAGATTATCTCCCCAAGACGAGTTTGCATCTTCTGCGTCTCTTGCCGCTTTTCGTCGTTTCCTATTTTTTGGATGCATTTTGTTTCTGTGCTTCTGGAGATCTTTTAGTTTCAGAAACCTGCAACAAGAAGGGGGAAATTATTTATGACAATAGTTAACATTGTAAATATTCAACCCATCAGCTTCAGTACTACATAAACACCAAACGTGTGTTTTATATGAAATTACATGAGTGTATCTCTGTCTTGAATCCAAATAAACGTGACTTAGTGCCGCATCCATACTAAACGTGATTTGTATGAAGTGACATCAGCGTGCCTTAGTACTGCATCCATACTAAAAGTGTGTTTT